ACAAAAAAAAAATTAAAAGCTGAGAAAAATGAATTCAAGCAATTTTTTTAATTTATCTTTAAATGACCGAATTTTTCTCAAGCAAAAATAAAACGAATAAGAAGCAGTAAATTCGGCCGGGCCGAACTTTAAATACTTCCACCGTTTGGAACGAATTTGGAAATTTTCAAACAAAAAAAAAAAAAATAAATAAATAAAAAAATTAAAAAATAAAATCCCTTAAAAATTCTGTTAAAATCATAAAATGACCGAATACAGCCGTTATATTGGGGTCCATACAACGACGTGGACCTGCATATAGAACTTTTGTCATCAAGCCATTACAATATTCAAATACGAAACTTGAAAACAAGAATTCGGTGAATGCATAACGTAGCTAAAATCACCAAAATACCGAATATAGGGAGGTACTGTTATACGAAGACCTGGACCTGCATAGACAAATTTTTGTCACAGGCTGTAGGACCTATTAGGAACTCCAAACACGAAATTTCAAATAACTTTGCGGAATATTGTACGTAAAATCATCAAAATACCGAATATTCGGAGGCACTGATATATGAGACCTGTACGAAGAACTGGACCTGCACAGACAATTTTCTGCCTTAGGCTGCAGTATCCATTACAAACTTCAAATACCAAATTTGAAACAATTCCAATGAATATTGTACCTTAAATCACCAAAATACCGAATATCGGGAGGTACTGATATATGGGGCCTGTACGAATACCTGTACCAGCTTAGACAATTTTATGTCATAGGCTGTAGCACCCATTAGGAACTCTAAATACGAAATTTGGAACATCTCCGGTGAATAATATCCTTGAAATCGTCAAAATACCGAATATTGAGAGGTACTGATATATATGGGGTCTGTACGAAGACCTGGACCTGCACAGACAATTTTCTGCCTTAGGCTGCAGTATTCATTACGAACTTCAAATACCAAATTTGAAACAATTCCAAGTAATAACATCGCTAAAATCATCAAAATACCGAATATCGGGAGGTACTGATATATAGGGCCTGTACGAAGACCTGGACCAAAATATATAATTTTTTATCATAGGCTGTGGTATTCACTACGAACTTTAAATACCAAATTTGAAACAATTCCTATGAATAATGTCCCTAAAATCATAAAAATATCGAATATCGAGGGATGCCGTTGTATGAGGGCCATACGAAGACGTGGACCTGTGTCATACATTACGAATTTCAAATAACAAATTTGAAACATTTTTGGTGAATAATGTCGCTAAAATCATCAAAATACCGAATATCGGAAGGTATTGTTATATGGGGGCTATATGAAGACGAATAACTTTTTTTTTCTGGAAAATTCTCAGCCAAATGCTGTCAGACGATTGGCTTAGAAATGACAGCAGTCAGAAGTTGGTTGCTGTTTTTTTTTCATCTCACCCTGTATATTTGAAACGAACGTGATGCCTTAAAATGTATATTTCATAATTTTGAAATCGTTTTTCATGTGTATAACAGTTTATGAAACTGTTATACAATATCAAATTTTCAAAAAAATGTGTGTTAAACCCTTAACAAGAGAATTTGGTGTGGTTTGGCCTATTTTTTCAAATGTATAACAGTTTGACATAACTGTTATACTTGAGAAAAATTGAATAAAATTTGTAAAAACACAAATGTGAACTATTTTTAAAACATATCCTACTAATTTCATTCTGTATAACAGTTTGAATTTATTGTTATAATGCGGAACAAGTTGTTAAGCAGCATCAAATTTTCAAAAAAAAAAAGAAAATTAGGTGTGATTTTGCTCATTTTTATGATGTATAACAGTTTGACAAAATTGTATGAAATGTGTAGAAAACAGGTTTTGGGTTATTTTAAACACGTAGACTACTAATTTCAATTAACAATATAATAAGCTGTCACTGGAACAATTTTAACAGCTGTCGGACGAGTGGCTTAGAAATGGCAACAGTCTGAAGGTGGTTGCAGATTTTACATCTCAGCCTGTATATATACTTTGTTATGTCTAAAAGAATTATTATTTCGATGAGTTGCAAAGGGAATGTCGAACTTAATATACCCTCCTCCTGCTATATATGGTGGAGGGTATAGTTATAAAAGCAGAACAAATTACTTCATGGCCTTTTTGAGATGATTTTTTGTAAGAGATGTATTCAAACTGGGATTTTGAAACTTTGGAATTTCTGGTTAAATTTTAATTTTTTTTTATTTTTTTTTTATTTATTTATTATTATTATTATTATTATTATTATTATTATTATTATTATTATTATAATTATTATTATTATTATTATTATTATTATTATTATTATTATTATTATTATTATTATTATTATTATTATTATTATTATTATTATTATTATTATTATTATTATTATTATTATTATTATTATTATTATTATTATTATTATTATTATTATTATTATTATTATTATTATTATTATTATTATTATTATTATTATTATTATTATTATTATTATTATTTTTTTTTTTTTTTTTTTGAATGGTTGGCCTAATTTTCATAATTTAGTAATATTTGTTTTTGTTTTGGAAAAATATTTAAAAAGTATTTTTTTTTTTTTTTTTTTTTTGAATAAATGGAAAAAATTGGAATTAATAATTTCATTTATTTATTTATTTATTTATTTGTTTATTTATTCATTTTTTTTTTATTAATTTATTTATTTACTTATAATTTAGTAATATTTTTTTCTTTTGGAAAAAAAAATGGAAAATTTGGAATTAATATTTTTTAATTTTTTTTTTATTTTTATTTATTAATTTATTTTTAATTGTATTTATTTATTTATTTATAATTTAGTAATTTTTTTGGAAAAAATGGAAAAAAAATGGAATTAATATTTTTTTTTGATTCTTTATTTATTTATTTACTTACAACTTAGTAATATATTTTTTTTTCTGAAAAAATTGGAATTATTTTTTATTTTATTTATTTTTATTTTTTTTTTTTAATTTATTTATTTACTTACTACTTTACTTATTAATATTTGTTTTGTTTGTTGGAAAAAATGGAAAAAAATTGGAGTTAATAATTTTTTATATATTTTTTTTATTTATTTATTTTTTTTTTTTTTTTGAGAAAATGGAAAAATTGGAATTAAACTTTTCTAATTTATTTTTTATTTCATTTATTTATTAATTAATTTATAATTTAGTAATATTTTTTTTTTTTTGAAAAAAAATAAAAAAAATTGGAATTAATATTTTTTTTATTTTTATTTATTTATTTTTTTTTTTTGAGAAAATGGAAAAATTGTAATAATTTTTTTTTTAATTTATTTATTTTTTTTTTATTTATTTTTTTATTTATTTAGTTACTGATAATTTAGTAATAGTTTTTTTTTTTTTTGGAAAAACTCTAAAAATTTGGAATTAACAATTTTATTTTTTTTAATTTATTTTTTTATATTTTTTTATTTATTTATTATTATTATTATTATTATTATTATTATTATTATTATTATTATTATTATTATTATTATTATTATTATTATTATTATTATTCATTTTATTATTTATTTTTTTTTTTTTTTTTGAGAGAGAGAAATATCATCCTCATATTGTCGCATTTGGCTTTCTTAAAAGTCTTTTTACAAAATTCTTGCTACATTTTTTATTTTATTTATTTATTTATTTATTCATTTTTTTTTTTTTTTTTTGAATAGCTGGCCTAATTTCATAATTTAGTATTTTTTTATTTTATTTTTTTTTTTTTTTTTGGAAAATATTGGAATTATTTTTTTAATTTTTTTAATTTTTATTTATTTATTTTTATTTATTTATATATTTATAATTTAGTAATATTTGTTTTATTTTTTAGAAAAAATGCACAAATTGGGATTAAAAATTTTATTTTTTTAATTTATTTTTTTTTTATTTATTTATTATTATTATTATTATTTTTTTATTTTTATTTTTTTTTTTTTTTGAGAGAGAGAAATTTCATCCTCATATTGTTGCATTTGGCTTTCTTACAAATCTTTTTACAAAATTCTTGCTGCATTTTTTATTTTATTTATTAATTTATTTATTTATTTTTTTTTTTTTGAATGGCTGGCCTAATTTGATAATTTAGTAATATTTTTTTTCGGAAAAAATGGAAAAGTTGGAATTAATACTTTTATTATTTTTTTTTTATTTTTTTATTTTTATTTCTCTATTTATTTATTTATTTATTTATTTTTTTTTTTTTTTTGAGTGAGAAATATCACATTCATATTTTCCTATTAGCCTTTCTTAAAAATTCTCTTTACAAAATTCATGCTCCATCATTCTTGGTCGTAAAAAAACGAATTTCTTTCGCAACATTTATTTCCATAATTCTTTGAAATCTTTATTCAGCTGTGTTCCAGCATTACCGGCTGCTACTTTGGCCAAAGAAAATAATTCTCATTTTTTTCCACGCTTTTCTTTAATTTGAAGGCAGAAGGAGCGAAGAAGAAAAGAATAGCAAAACTATAAACCATTCAACTGCATTAAGTTTTGTATTTTTCCACTTCGTCGTTTGTTGTTGCTCTGATTTCTGTTCGGAAACTTCATTACCATAATTTTACAACTGCATTTTATTTTTTTCTTTGTGAAAAATTTATTGTTAAAAGTTTTGAAATTCGTTTTTAAATTTCACTTGTGTAGCAGATGTTTGGCATGGGATGAAGTTTCTTTTTTTTGGGGGTGGTGTGTTGCATGTTGTATTGTTAAGAAAAGAGATTTTCTTTCAATATGGGAGAAGGGAAGGGAAAATGTTGGAATATTGACATTTATGGCATGGAATGGGCCTTAGAATTAAGGACCCATTTTGGATAGAGCCTTGAACAGAGATTTTTAGGGAAAATATCTTAAATTTTTTCCGACGCAATAATTTTAAATCAGTTTGAGAAACTTCCGAAAAAAATGTTGTTCCCCTGATCCATAGGGCCCACTTTTAAAATTATTAGAAATTTTTACTAATTTTTTTTATTTATCTTTCCAGGTCTCCTTTTTCTCCACCAGTCCTGAGCTGAGCAACAAACAGCGTTTTGAATATTTCTCAAGGACCATACCTTCGGATCATTATCAAGTGAAGGCCATGGTGGAAATTGTCAAGCGGCTGGGATGGAGCTATGTTTCCATAATCTATGAGGAGAGTAACTATGGAATAAAGGTAAGTGGAATAAAAGTAAAGGGTTTATAAAATATTTTTTGGAAGGACTAAGAGTGATTTGAATATTTAAAGGCTATTCCTTCAATAATCAAATGCGAATTTTGTAAGAGAATATTTTTCAAGGATTAAATGGCAGCTTTTTAAGGGTCTATTCATGAAAAAAGGATCTATTCATGCACAAAAAAGACCAAAGTACCCATGCTTATTAAAGGTCCTTGAAAAAAAATTATTTAAAAAATCCAAATTTATAGAAGTCCTTCAAAAACCTATTTTTAAAATCCACGTTAATGGAATATCTTTGAAAAAAATATTTTAAAAATCAACTTTTATGGAATATCCTTGAACAAAAATTATTTTAAAAATCAACGCTTATGCAATATCCTTGAAAAAAATATTTAAAAAATCCACGTTTATAGATTATCCTTGAAAAAAATATTTAAAAAATCCACGTTTATAGATTATCCTTGAAAAAATTATTTTAAAAATCCACGTTTATGGAATGTCCTTGAAAAAACTATTTTAAAAATCAACGTTTTTGGAATATCCTTGAAAAAAATTATTTTAGAAATCCAAATTTATAGAAGGTTCTTGAAAAAATGATATTAAAAATCCACATTTATCAAAGGTCTTTGAAAAAATTATTTTAAAAATCCACATTTATAGAAGGTTCTTGAAAAACTATTTAAAAAATCCACGCTCATTAAAAGTTCTTGAAAAAATTATATTAAAATTCTACGCTTATTAAATGTACTTAAATAAATTATTTTAAAAATCACGGTCCAAATGAACTTCCTTGAAAAAATTATTTTAAAAATCCTTGGTCCGAATTAAGGTCCTTGAAAAAATTATTTTAAAAAGCCACGCTTTAAAAATGTCCTTGAAAAAATTATTTTAAAAATTCACATTTTTAGAAGGTCCTGGAAAAAAAATATTTTAAAAATCCACGCGTATGAAAGGTCCTAAAAATTATTTTATAAATCCATGCTTATTAAAGGTCCTTAAAAAAATGTATTTAAAAAATCCACGCTTATTAAAGGTCCTTGAAGAAAATATTTTAAAATTCTACGATTATTAAAGGTCCTTAAAAAAATATATTTTAAAAATCCACGCTTATTAAAGGTCCTTGAAGAAAATATTTTAAAATTCTACGATTATTAAAGATCCTTAAGAAAATGTATTTTAAAAATCCATGCTTATTAAAGGTCCTTGAAGAAAATATTTTAAAATTCTACGATTGTTAAAGGTCCTTAAAAAATATATTTTTAAAATCCACGCTTATTAAAGGTCCTTGGAAAAATTATTTAAAAAATCCACGCTTATTAAAGGTCATTGAAACAATTATTTTAAAAATCCACGCTTATTAAAGGTCCTTGGAAAAATTATTTAAAAAATCCACGCTTATTAAAGGTCATTGAAACAATTATTTTAAAAATCCACGCATACGAAAGGTCCTTGGAAAAATTATTTTAAAAATCCACGCTTATTAAAGGTGTTTGAAAAAATTATTTTTAAAAACCACGCTTATTAAAGATCCTTGAAAAAATTATTTTAAAATTCTACGATTATTAAAGGTCCTTAAAAAATATATTTAAATAATCCACGCTTATTAAAGGTCCTTGGAAAAATTATTTTAAAAATCCACGCTTATTAAGAGATCTTGAAAAAATATTTTACAAATCCACGCTTATTAAGAGAACGTGAAACAATATTTTAAAAATCCACCTTTATTAAGAGAACTTGTTTCAAATTTCGTATTTGAAGTTCGTAATGTTTACCACAGCCTATGACAAACAAATATGTAGATTCACGTTTTTCATATATATCCCCCATGAAACGGTCCATACCGCATGCATCGGAATTGTTTTGGCATTTGAAGTTCGTAATGGGTGCTACAGACTATGACAAAAAAATTCGTTATCAGGTCCGCGTCTCTCCATATAACAGTTTTCATTTAAGTGGTGGTGGTTTCCGGAAGTTTTTGGAAATTTTCAAGTTCCTCCCAAATGGTGAAGTGAAGTGCCCGGCCGAACTTAGCAGCATTTTTGCTTGTTTAAGAATTAAAAAACGTGGATTTTATGAAAGATATATTTTCATGATTCGAAGGATATTTTTCAAGGATTACGATGTAGATTTTATGAAGGATATTCATTGACGGACTGGAATCAGGAAGGATATTTGGATCAAGGATTGAGACGTGGATTTTAGAAAGGATATTTTTTCAGGGACTAAAATCTGGATTTTATGAAGGATAATTGGTTCAAGGACTGAAATATGGATTTTGTGGAGAATATTCATATTAAAGAACTGGATAAAATTAAAGACATGTGGTTTAAGGATTAAGACGTGGATATTAGAAAGGATATTTTTCAAGGGCTAAAACACCAACAATTGTGGAATTTATGGAGAAGAATATTTCAAGTAACCAACGAACAAACAATGGGTTTATGAATTATATTTCCAATGTCAAAAAATGTGAATTTTTTCAGGACCACTAACGTGGATTTTTTTTAATAATATATTTTTAAGGACCTTCATAAAATAAGTGGATTATTCGAAAGAACCTATTTTTAAGGACCGCAAAGGGTGTATATTTTTAATGTACCTCAGGATGGCTTTTAATGGAATGCTTTCAAGGCCCATTAGACAACCAAAGTAAAATATTATAAAGGATATTTTTCGAGGACCTTCAGACCATTCAACATAGACTAGCTCAGCAATAATTTTTAGTACCCTGAGTCCTTCTATAGAGGATTTTTTCAAGAATAATATTTCAAGGATCAATCGAGGATTTTTGTATGGATTTTAGTAGAAGGACTAATGATGGGTATTGGAAGAATTTTTTGAGTGACTTTTCGTTGAGTTCCCAGGACTAATCGGGGATTTTTTTGGGATTGCATTTTAAAGGCTAACCCTGGAAATTTAAAATAAGGTTCTCTATTTCTGGGACCAATCGTGGATCTTTTAAGGATTAACTGCTGACTTTGTGAGGATTTCATATCAAAGTTGAATTGGCGATTTTTAGAAATTTTTTCCAAAGACTAATCATAAATGTTTTAAGGATCATAAAAAAATTTTAATAGATTTTTCACGGGTCGATTTTTTTAGAATTTTTTTAAAATTTTTTTTTTAAGAATTTTTTAAGAATTTTTCAAAAAATTTTTTTAAGAATTTTTTTTTTGATTTTTTTAAAGAATTTTTTTAAGAATTTTTTTCTAAGGACCTTCGGTGATGTTTTAAAACAATATTTCAAAGATCAATCAAGGAGTTTTTTCTAGGAATTTTATTTCGAGGATAAATTGTATATTTTTTAAAAGATGTTATTTAGAAACAATTGCGAATTTATAAAAAGTTTATTTAAAGGACTTAGCGTGGATTATCGATGGCGAAGTCATTAATATATTATTTTAAGGATTTTATTTTAAAGTTTAATCGTGCGGGATCTTGTCGCAGATCAGTCGTTGATTTTTGTAAGGACAAATCGACTTTTGTTGTTTAAGCTCTCAGGACCTCTAATAAGCGTAGATTTCTAAAATTAATTTTTCAAGTACCTTTAAAAAGCGTGGATTTTTGAAATAATTTTTCCAGGACCTCTAATAAGCGTAGATTTTTAAAAAAATAATAATAATTTTTTCAAGGGCCTTTAGTAAGCCCGGATTTTTAAAATATTTTTTTCAAAGATCTTCACAAATAAAAATATTTTTTTTTTCAAGGACCTTTAAAAAGTGTTGATTTTTAAAATAATTTTTTCAAGGAAGATTTTTTCAAGCGTCGATTTTTAAATAATTTTTTCAAGGACCTTTAATAACCGTGGACTTTTAAAATAATTTTTTCAAGGACCTTTAACAAGCATAAATTTTTAAAATAATTTTTACAAGGACCTTAAATAAGCGTAGATTTTTAAAATAATTTTTTCAAGGACCTTTGATAACCGTGGACTGTTAAAATAATTCTTTCAAGGACCTTTAACAAGCATGGATTTTTAAAATAATTTTTTCAAGGACCATTGACAAGCGTGGATTTTTAAAATTATTTTTTCAAGGACCTTGTATAAATCTGGATTTTTAATATATTTTTGACAGGGGCCTTAAATAAGGAGTTTTTTATGAATTTTATTTCGACGATAAATTGTAGATTTTTAAAAGACTTTATTTTGAACCAATTGCGAATTTTTGAAAAAGTTTATTTGAAGGACTAATCGTGGATTACCAATGGAGAAGTCATTAAGGTTTTCAGGATTTTATTTTAAAATTTAATCATGCGGGATCTTATTGAAGACCAGTCGTTGATTTTTGTAAGGTCAAATCGACTTTTGTTGTTTAAGCTCCGATAGTGGATTTTTTCAAATAAAGACATTTAAAGGATTTTATTTCAAGGACCGACTGTTGACTTTTTAATGAATATTTTTTTTAAGAATTAAAAAAAAAATCAAGGGTCGATTTTAGATTTTATAAGGATTTTTGAAGGACCCCTTTAAGATTTTTAAGGATTTTTCTTAACCAAAATTTTTTATAGGATTTTGTAAGATTTCTTCCAAAGAGGATATTTTTCTCAACAATTTTTTCCGAAATCGTCGAAAGGGCGATATTTAAAAAATTGTATTTCAAGGCCATTAAAAATCAATTCCCACAAATTAAAATATCTCGAATTCGAACTCTATTTACAATTCTCGCTTTTTTTTGTTAATTTCTCATCCTTTCACAGGCATTCGAAGAATTGGAAGAGCTGTTGGCACGCCACAACATCTGTATCGCTGTCAAGGAGAAGCTGGTTAAGGACTCTGGTGTGGCCGATGAAACTGCCTACAACAATATTGTGCTGAAACTGTTGACCAAACCGCGGGCACGTGGTGAGTAAATCGTTGCAAGTTTATTTAAAATGTACAGCAGACCAACTTGAAATCAATTCGCTTACATGTACAGGCACTCACACACACACACACATATGCTCTTACACTCTCTCAGAGGCAGCTTAAGGGTAATGGAATTTTTTTCTGGAGTATAAATTAGTGAAGAAATGTTAAAGGTGTTCTGAAAAAAAAAAAATTAACAAAAAAAATATAATAATAATGTTGCACATTATTATAAAATTTATTACTTTCCAAATCTCTTTTGAACTCGTAAATACATGGCACACATGTGTGGGAGGGAAACATAATCATGTCGAAAAAAAAAATCGAAAAAATCCCATACACCTTGTAACCCCTCGACTACACAAATAAAAAACAGGGTACAATTTTACACATTATACACATACACACATATGCAGATGTGTGTGTGTGTGTGTGTATGTTGGTGGCTGTGTATGTGTGCGTTCATAAATAAAAAATTACTTGTATTTTATTAACATCTGCATTTAACAAGTCGTGCGTTAACATCAACACTTCCCCAGCCAAAGCTGAAAGGTGGTGCTCCAGGCTACCTCCCGGGTTAAGCTATTTTTTCTGCAGTTACATGGCGAAAAATGCAATCTGAGAGTTATGAAAATAACATGTAGTTGCATAAAAAAAAACAAACAAAAACTACTACATAACAAACTTTACTTGGCATGGGAAAAAACTTAACAAAATTGCAACACAGGATTGGGTAGCATAACTACCCAAAATATTAAGGATTTTATTTAAAGGGTGCAGGATCAAACAAGTGAGGGACTTTTAATAGGCGTGGATTTTTAAAATAATTTTTTCTAGGACCTTTAACAAGCGTGGATTTTTAAAATAATTTTTTCAAGGACCTTTAATAAGCGTGGATTTTTAAAATAATTTTTTCAAGGATATTCCATAAACGTGGATTTTTAAAATAATTTTTTCAAGGATATTCCATAAACGTGGATTTTTAAAATAAATTTTTCAAGGACCTTTAATAAGCGTGGATTTTTAAAATAATTTTTTCAAGGACCTTAAATAAGCGTGGATTTTAAAAATAATTTTTTCAAGGACATTTAATAAGCTTGGATTTTTAAAATAAATTTTTTAAGGACTTTTCATAGGCGTGGATTTTTAAAATAAATTTTTTAAGGACCTTTAATGAGCGTGGATTTTTAAAATAATTTTTTTCAAGGACATTTAATAAGCGTGGATTTTTAAAATAATTTTTTCAAGGATCTTAAATAAGCGTGAATTTTTAAAATATTTTTTTCAAGGACCTTATATAGGCGTGGATTTTTAAAATAATTTTTTTCAAGGAGCTTTAATAAGCCGGGATTATTAAAATAATTTTTTTTTTAATGACCTTTAATAAGCCAGGATTTTAAACATAATTTTTTAAAGACCTTTTATAAGCGTGGATTTTTAAAATATTTTTTTCAAGGACCTTTAATAAGCGTGGATTTTTAAAGTAATTTTTTCAAGGACCTTTAATAAGCGTATATATTAAAAATAATTTTTTTCAAGGACCTTTAATAAGATTGGATTTTTTAAATAATTTTTTTTCAAGGACCTTTAAAAAGCGTGGGTTTTTAAAATAATTTTCTCAAGGACCTTTAACAAGCGTGGATTTTCAAAATAATTTTCTCAAGGACCTTTAACAAGCGTGGATTTTCAAAATAATTTTTTCAAGGACCTTTAACAAGCGTGGATTTTTAAAAAAAAATTTTCAAGGACCTTCTATGAATGTGGATTTTTAGAATAATTTTTTCAAACACCTTAAATAAGCGTGGATTTTTAAAATAATTTTTTCAAACACCTTAAATAAGCGTGGATTCTTAAAATAATTTTTTCAAGGACCTATAATAAGCGTGGATTTTTAAAATAATTTTTTCAAGGACCTATAATAAGCGTGGATTTTTAAAATAAATTTTTAAAGGACCTCTAATTAGCGTGGATTTTTAAAATAATTTTTTCAAGGACCTTTAACAAGCGTGGATTTTTAAAATATTTTTTTCAAGGACCTCTATCTAATAAAATAATTTTTTAAGAACTATAATAAGTTGGGATTTTTAAAATAATTTTTTCAAGGACCTTTAACAAGCGTTGATTTTAAAAATAATTTTTAATAGAACAGTATTTGGCTTGCTTGTTTGGATATTCCATAAACGTCGATTTTTAAAATAATTTTTTTCAAGGATATTCCATAAACGTCGATTTTTAAAATAATTTTTTCAAGGTCCTTTCATAAGCGTGGATTCTTAAAATAATTTGTTCAAGGATATTCCATTAACGTGGATTTTTAAAATAATTTTTTCAAGGATATTCCATTAACGTGGATTTTTAAAATAATTTTTTCATGGATATTCTATTAACGTGGATTTTTAAAATAATTTTTTCAAGGGCCTTTAGTAAGCCCGGATTTTTAAAATAATTTTTTCAAAGACCTATAATAAGCGTGGATTTTTAAAATAATTTTTTGAAAAACCCTTAATAAGCGGGGATTTTTAAAATTATTTTTTCAAGGACTTCTTATAAGCGTGGATTTTAAAAATAATTTTTTCCAATGACCTTTAATAAACGTGGATTTTTAAATTAATTTTTTCCAAGGAACTTTAATAAGCGTGGATTTTTAAAATAATTTTTTCCAAGGACCTTTAATAAGTAAGGATTTTTAAAATAATTTTTTCAAGGACCCCTAATAAGCGTAGACTTTTAAAATAATTTTTTTCAAAAACCTTTAATAAGTGAGGATTTTTAAAATAATTTTTTCAAGGACCTATAATAAGCGTGGGTTTTTAAAATAATTTTTTCAAGGACTTTGAATAGGCGTGGATTTTTAAAATAATTTTTTCAAGGACCTATAATAAGCGTGGGTTTTTAAAATAATTTTTTCAAGGACCTATAATAAGCGTGGGTTTTTAAAATAATTTTTTCAAGGACCTTAATTTGGACCGTGGATTTTTAAAATAATTTTTTCAAGGATCTTTTTGAGGAGAGGATTTTTAAAATAATTTTTTCAAGGACTTCTTAATAAGCATAGGTTTTAAAAATAATTTTTTCAAGGACTTCTTAATAAGCATAGGTTTTAAAAATAATCTTTTCAAGGACATTCTATAAATTTGGATTTTTAAAATAATTTTTTCAAGGACCTTCTGTAATTTTGGATTTTTAAAATAATTTTTTCAAAGACCTTTAATAAGCACGGATTTTTAAAATAATTTTTTCAAGGACCTTTAATAAGCGTGGATTTAAAAAAAAAAAATTTCAATCACCTTCTGTATTTTTGGATTTTTAAATAATTTTTTCAAGGACCTTTAATAAGCACGGATTTTTAAAATAAATTTTTCAAGGACCTTTAATAAGCGTGGATTTTTTAAAAAGGACCTTCTGTAATTTTGGATTTTTAAAATACTTTTTTCAAGGACCACATCACACACAAGTAACGTTTTTTTTATTTCTTACGAAATCTATTTTAAGATAACTTTTATTTTTCTTTTTTGAATTGAAAAATAAAATCCAGGCATATTCGGCCTACCATTCTTCTCCGACCAGTCAAAGTCTATTAATCATGCCCATTCAATATGTTTTTCAAAAATGATACAACGAAATCCCACTTTTTATTCATCCACGTTTATCTTTTCAACATGACAGGATTTTTTGGGGTTTCGAAAATTCATGGTGACATGTGTGCGTGCGTCTGTGTGTAGGAAAATCACTGCCCTGTCGTCGGTCACATTCAAATGAGTTCTCAGTGACAAAATGACATAATCCAAGGAAACACGTTAAAGTTGCCAGCCAGCAACGGTACGTTTTCATTTTGATTTTGATTTTCGTTTTCAATTCAATTGGTATTGATTTCAGACATTGTAAACCACTTTTTTTTTGGTGGTGGTTATTGTTGTTGTTGCTGTTGTTGAATATCCTTTCAACACGCCTTTCATTTTCAATATTCGACGTGAAGTTCATTTGTAAACTGTCACCATTGCTGTCAAGCATCAGGACACACACACCCATGCACCCATGTACATGGCGGAAAGTGAACAAGTTTCTTTTTCGCAGTGTGTGTGCGTGGCAAGGAAACGAAAAACGTTCAAAGGATTTCATACAAAGTCACATTGTAAGGATTATAACAATGCACAACGACGACGATGACGACGAAAAGTTGAACAGCCAATATGTGTGACATTTTACAATTTTGTTTCTTTTGATTTGCCAAAGTTTTGTTCCGAAATCTCTTTCTTATTTTTTGTGGTTGGTTTGATATAAATTGATGGATAAAAGGCAGAAATTTAAAAGGATTTTTATTTATTTGTAAAGGATGTGATAGGTTAGAGCTGGCTTTTTATGGCTTCAATGAAAGAGAAAAAAATTGGCGAATTTTTGGCTAAATGAACAACTTTTAATCTTTTGTTAAAGGAACAAGACCACGGGGTTAGGAAGGATCAAAAGGGATTTAAGGACAAACGTAAATTAAAAAAAGTTTTCAAAAGCAACAATACATAAGAGGATTAAACCCGACTGCTTGGCAACAATAAAAATCCAGGATCTCTAAATATATTTTTTTAATAATTTTTTTTTTAAGGACGCTTAATAACCGAGAATTTTGTAGAATCATTTTTCAAGGACTTTCTGTAAAAGTAGATTTTTGAATTCATTTTTTCAAGGACGCTTAATAACCGAGGATTTTGTAGAATCATTTTTCAAGGACTTTCTGAAAAGTGGATTTTTGAATTCATTTTTTCAAGGACCTTTTATGAACATGTATTTATAAAATATTTTTTAAGGACCTTCCGTAAAAGAGGATTTGTAAAATATTTGTTTCAATGACCTCTAACGAACGAGGATTTTTTAAAGATTTTTTTAAGGATTTTAAAAATGTTTTTTTTTCAAGGACATTTAATAAACGTAAAATTTTAAAATAGTTTTTTAGGAACGTTGACAATCGTGGATTTTTAAAACAATTTTTTCAAGGATAATCCATA